CATAAAGATAAATTTAATAATTAAATCTTTTTTATCCATGAAAATAGCTTCCAAATATAACATACTTATGTCCTTTAGTATCATTTAAAATAACATTGTAGGAAAATATCTGAATGTGGGTTACACCACTTTTGCGCTGATAGCCTCAATTGTCCTATAATAATACCTATAATAACCTATAATACCTATAATTAATAATCATAACAAGACCTTAACCATTTTAGTAATTATTTATAATATGTAACACAGATTTCCAACCTAGCATAGACTCCCAGCTTTCATTGTAAAATTGTAAGTACTCTTAGGGTCGTATTCTAGAACTCTACTCAATGCTCAAGTCAAGATTTGAGTATGGTTTAAAGCACTCGAAATCATACTCAAGTTCCTGTCATTACGACCCTTAGGGTCGTATTCTAGAACTTTAATCAATGCTCAAGTCAGGATTGCACTGGAAACACAAGCACTGGAACTACGACCCTAATGGCAGGGACTTGAGTATGATTTCGAGTGCTTTAAACCATACTCAAATCCTGACTTGAGCATTGAGTAGAGTTCTGGAATACGACCGTTAGACTTTTTTGAAAGAAAACAAAGGTTTTTGTATTTATATTACAGTGTACGAGGTTGATAATCGTAAAATGAAATAAAAATTTTTTCGTATTACAATATTACAATTTATTTAATCAAGGGATAATAATGCTCGTCATTTATATAAACAATAATGCTTAATGTATAACAAAATATAAATATATAACCCAAAACATGAACCCAAAATATTGTCACAATAAAATCCAATAAAAAGAAAATTACAATTTCTAAGAAAGAAATTCAGTAAACAACGCAGTAGTAGTAACGCAGTAAATTCATTATCTAACAAAAGGATCTTCAATTGGATATAAAACATTTCGTCGTTTGTAACACTTTTCAGATTTACGTGAAGGTGTTCATAAAATTGCCCAGGAAAGTACTTTATCTATTTCTGCCGCCGAACAGTTATGTTAGCATTACTGTGTTCCGAATTTGAAGTGTAAGGGTGCTGGTGAAAACGCTTGTAAACTTGTCTCAGGGTGACAGGCGCAGTGGCAGTGCCTCTCAGATCTTTGCGATTTAAAGATGTTACTGCAACTGTTACTGACAATATAAAAAATTAATAAAAAAGTCTTTGAACTGAAATATTTAACCTTAATGGGAAAGGTGCGTAAAATATATGGACCCCTCGTACGTAAAGTATCGTATGTCAAAAATTGCCAAGTTTTCAGGGGAGCGTTTTGAAGTTTTCTACCGGCCACTAACTAAAACGCGTCTCAACGACAAATGGTCAAATTACCATTTTAAATAGCAAAAAACAGGGCACAAAATTATCTTTTAAAAACAGTTAAAATTAGGAAATGTAACTATTTCTCCGGATTTAAATCGCGTATATTTCTTTTTTCAAACAAACCGACGTTTCATGCGAGCATGTCAAGGATAAACCTACACATTCAATGAAGTTTGACAAACCCCAGGTCCTTGCAAAAGAAATCCGTTATCTACCCAGGATGCTGCGAGAGGCCATTGAAATTAAAAAACATCCTAATTTCAACAGGGAAGGTGGTTTCTCCGTACCACCAGTTTGGGATCCAGTATTTCCTGTAATGAAAAATCCCAAACAGACATAAGACTGCAGTACTAATTATTATATTATTAGTATATGTTTTAGTTTATTCTAATTTCTATTATTAATTAATAATAAATTGAACTTAATAAAAAAAATAATTCAATAAAATAATTTGTAAAACGTAATGTAGCGTAAATTGGAATGTTTCTTTGTAAAATTAAAAATAAGGTATTTAATTAATATCTATTGTAACTATAGTGAAAAAATAGGGTGGTTTGCATCAATATTAGACATAGCTGGTTGAAGACTGTACCACCTCAGTCAACCGTGACCGTGGGACCTGTAAAGGGCCCGAAACGTCGGTTTGTTTGAAAAAACAGTTATACGCGATTTAAATCCGGAAAAATAGTTTCATTTCCTATGTGTAACAATCGCGAAAACCTAAGAACTCGACAGTTAAAATTAGTTAACGTGTTCGACCTATCGGAACTTACCCTAACGATGCATAGCTGAAATATCTTCAAATAATTTTAATATATTCTAAAACTGGGTTATGAGTTTTTATGATATCTCTAAAAATTATTTTGTCACTTAGCCGCTTTTCAGTTGGCGAATGGTAGTTTTGAATTCACTAAAATGAGCATAACACGTCACTTTAACATAGAAATGCTGAAATAAATTTTAAAATGATATAATAAATTGTACTTGTTTATCCAAACGATATCTAGGATTTTATAATAATCTGTGTGAGTTACGAGCTTTGCCGAATAACAATGAGAAGTGCTAAAGTCACGGGTTATGCTCATTGTCGTGAATTCCAAACTTTAAAGCGCTCCCCTGTAAACTTGACACTTTCGACATACGATACTTTACGTAGAAGTGGTCGTAATTATATATGCATGTAAGTTACCACTTTTTTTTTCATTATTTGATTGTCAATTAGAAATCATCTTAGAATCACTATTAGGTGCCAATTTCTAATAAAAAAAGAATCATTGAAATCGGTTCGCTAATGTCGGAGAAATCGCGGAAATACAAAAAAATACGGTCAAAAGCCGAACCTCCTCTTTTTAAAATCGGTTAAAAAGTATTGTTCTTAATTCTATTTTCACGTCTGAAAAGGCTTATTAGGAAAAAATACCATAGTCCTCATGGGTGCCATGACAGAAGATTGTAGTTTTAATTGATCCGACCTAGTTTAAAACATGTTACAGAAACCAGTTCTTATACATATAATCACGGAATGAATACAAAATCTCTAGTTTATTTATGTCTTGCTCTCAATTGTATATGTTATTCATGAAATTGTTTGTCGTAGGTACTGTTAAAATACATACTTTATTCGAAAGTTGTTTCGTTTGTGCTGCACAACTGGGAGCAATGGGGAAATTGCTTTCCATTGTGTTGCTACGTATGACAAGTTACTTTATAATTCTATCACTTTTAGAGAAGGACGCGTACCCATACAAATAAAGCTAGCACACAATGTAACACTTTAAATTATTATTGTAGATAAAGCGATCGAATAAACACATAGATAAAAATTCATTCAATCCTACTGAAATCGAACCAGCGCCTGTTTGCCAGACCGGGGCTAACCGCTCTACCAACTGAGCTACGGAAGGAATCAGCAAACCTCACGAATTTCTTTATCTGCCCGTTACCTTTAAGGTGCGTACAGATCTGGCGAATGCGCCACGAACACGCTGCATGTGCGCTGCACACGTGCAGTTAAATACATGTTATTATATGTGGCATGTGAACAGATAGCATAACATACGTGTGCAGCTCGCGAACCTTTTTTGTACGCACGCACCCTTAAAGTATGTTTATATAGGCATTGTAGAGATTGGAAATAAAACTAGTTTATTAGATCTAAATCTCGTATCTTCCTTTCAAAACAAATTACTACATAGTCGAATGGTTTGCAAATCGGTTTTCATGATGTCGCTATCTTTGAGGACCCGGGTTGGATCCTCGACCGGGTCATTATAGATAAATTAACTTTTTTATATTGTCTCGGGTCAGTGTTTATGGTCCGTCGATGCTTCCGATATCCATAGTGTTTTAGTTACTGTCTAATATTTATTACAATTTATTGGATGGTAAGTACTATGTACTTTACCATCTCAGGCAGCCGTGACCATGAAACCTGCAAAAGACCCTAAATGTTGGCCTATTTGAAAAACAAATAAAAGCCATTTAGATCCGAGAAAACAGTTCTATTTCCAATGTGTAACAAACGCAAAAGTTCAAGAACTCGATATTGTAGAGATTGCTCTACGGTACTATAACCGTAAGTGTTTTCTACAAATTGCGTTTTAGGGCAAAAGCAGAGTCTGAGTAAGCACAGTGTGTATGCATCCCGTCCAGAACTGATGGCTTTACGATCTACAGGGGTTGGAAGCATATGGACGCATAATGCTAAAAACCGGGCTTGGTGACGCACCTAGGGAGGTCTGTACTGCCGTAATAAGAATAATAAAGTTTATTTATTGCGTTCTACTTCCTACCAATCAATAACAATACAATAACGCACACACACATAGCCCCGCACTCGGGAAACCCTGTGTAGCGGATGCCACAGACGCACAAATAGACAAAACCACAAATTAAACCCAAATTCACTTACTACATTTATTTCTCTCGTGAGTTTGAATGAATTTATGATTGTCTATGTGTGTGTCCACGTCACCTACGAACACTATAAAGGGTTTCTCTAGAGCAGGGCTAAGGTTGTGTGCGTTATTATTATTATTTTATTGCATTGCTTGTCTAATTCTTTTCTTTTGTCTACTTGTGTAACCCGTGTAACTTCCTCTTTACTAGGATAACTATAGACTTAAGTACTAATTTTTTTTAAAGTGCTCTAGAAAAGCGATTTGTTTTTAGTTTTTACACATTTCAACCCATAGATACCAGTTTGCAATTATTATCACTAATTACAGGTTTCTTACCACGGTATGGTTTTTCTTAATTTTCACGATATTTCAGATCGATTTTTTTTATAATATCAATTGACGGGACGAACAAGTCTTGCGCCTGATGGTAAGCAACACGCCTGTACATAACAATTGCAGTGCCACTCAGAGCTTTAAATCGCAAAGATCTGAAGGGCACTGCCACTGCGCCTGCCACCCTGAGACATAAGTTAACAAGTCCCACGTGCTTGTAATTTCACCAATGCCCTTACCCTTCAAAACCGGAACACAGTAATGGTAACATTACTGCTTGGCTGCAGAAATAGGTAAGGTGGCAGTATTTCCCTGGACGAACTCTTTCACAAGGAGCTCGACTGCTACCAAAATATCGGTATCGTGAGTCAACCCGTGAACGTTCCTAAATATCAGGAAAATCATGCCGTGGTAAGCAACTGGTTTGTTTATGTCACGTTTTCCCCCAGAACATCAAGTACTACCTGCATTGGTGTAGCAGGCGCCCAGCTGTCAGTGTCAATTACGACGCTAGCCGCCCAGGTGTTCATGCTACAGCTGGACTTGCGATACGATGCAGCATTGTCACCGCCGCCGCGGCAGTCTGATACTCAAACAAATACTGCTGTTTCTATGGTATGTTTCTGTTAAGTAATTATTATAAATCCTCGATACGAGTGCGCCTTACTTGTGTGAAAATTAAATATTTTAATAATAATAATTTTAAATTATATAATAAATACACTTCCTATAACTTCATTTCATTTTTTTTATGATAGTAGGTGACGGGACGATCGAGTCGTGCGCCTGATGATAAGCGACACGCCTGTCCATAACAGTTTCACTGCCAGTCAGAGCTTTAAATCGCAAAGATCTTGGCACTGCCAGTGCGCCCGTCACCTTGAGACATAAGTTGATAAGTCCCATATGCCTGTAATGCAATTCTAAAAATAGGTAAGGTGACAGTGAAATTTAAAAAAAATCAAATTATTCTTATTTTATGTAAAGCTTTTTATATAACAATCATTTTATAATTTTTAAGAGGTATTTGCTTGTACCTATAATGTGCGTCCCTCTAGTAGATTAGGTTAGATTAGTATGTGAAAAAAACAGCAAGAGCCAAAGCGAGCGAAGCGGGCATGTCTCTGCAGCGGCCGGCAAGTGCCAGAACCGAATTTCTTTGCCTTTCCGAACAAGTTTTAGGTCAAATTTTTTTAGTTTAATAATCTACTTAGTTATGTGAACTGAGGTTTATAAATGTTATTTACAATGAGTGACTCAGCAGTAAAATGTAACATTATATCAAACATTCTATAAATTAATGAATTGTTATATGGATAATAATAATAACGCATATACTCAACATAGCCCCGCACTAGGGAAACCCTGAGTCGCGGGTGCCATGGACAGCCACACATAGACAGCCACAAATTACACCCAAACACACTAAAGAAATAAATGTAAGTCATACAAATATTTCTCCGGGCCCGTGCTCTGCGTGGCAGTCCGGCATGGTACCGTCCGGTCTCGGAGGCAATTAAAGTTTAGTTTAGTAGTTAGTTAAAGTTTATATTAAATAAAATTATATTAAATGATCGTATTAAGTTTATAATATTTATGTTATACATTACTCACCCTACGGACACATTTCACACTTCCAACATTCACTACGTATGCCTGTGCCGTACAGTACAAAACGCGGAACAAGAAATTCATAACGTTTTATGTTTTGCGGTTCAAGTTGTGGACTCGACACATACTCGTATATTCGTATGATTGTACAAGCACGTTGTAATGCGGAAGTGAATATTTATACATGTGGGATCCATTAAAATGAATGCATTGAAGCAATTAAAAACTCTAGCACCAGATGATAATGCAATCAAAATAATTACATTCATTGGTGTTGATGAACTGAAAAGTTTTAAACGGTAAAACATAAAAATTAACAGTAAAATGATTAAAATGATACGTTTACAAAATACATGTGTACAAATAAAATGCAAGTTGAATTTACTAATGTGAACTGTATTTCTAATAATTTCAGTATAGAGTACTAAAAAAACCGACTTCAAAAGTATGTGGAAATACATATATTTGCCAAGTTTTATTGAAGTATCCCCTAGTTCGCCACTATACAGGACTTGACACAGGAGATAATAAAAATCGGTTCTCACTACTCAAAGTATATTGAGAGAGAAACGCCTTGAATTGGAGAATAACAAAGTCAGCCATTAAAATAATTGCTCCTTATAATAAAATTTAGGCGCTTTTTATAAAAATGAATCTTCATGCGTGAACAGCCACCCTTAGAGGTGGATGATTTCCTTCGAAATAAAATGGGACTACTATGGAGGTACCCTCTTTCCAACAAAAAAAGAATCATGAAAATCGGTTCACAGATACCGGAGTCATCGCGTAACATACATACAAAAAAAATACATATAGCCGAATTAAGAACCTCCTCCTTTTTTGAAGTCACATTTTCACACAAAAAAAGGAGGTTTTTGTGTGAAAATGTGTGAACGAGTATCAGTCTCCTTTTGATATTTTTTAGGAAATTCTATGTCTTCGCTCATCACATGTATTTCCGTATGACAGAATAGTTTAAAACAAGCACCAAAGTTTATGAAATGTTTAAAGTAGCTTTTTATTTATTATTGATGATTTACAATAAAAATGGCGAACAATGGTTTTCGATAAAATATAAATTAAGTTGGTAGAGCAGCTTTAGCGTAACTTTCAGTATTTTATTCGAATAACTTTTGTGCGGATATTTCTTTTCAGTAGCTTAATAAATAACACTGTAACATTCATCTTCTGAAAAAGCTCATTTTTAATTTACTTTTCGGGGCTTTTGTTACTACTAAAAAAAAATTATCTTGGAATGGCATCACGATTTTATAAAAATATTTTACACGCTAATCTACAATCTTTTGCCATCTCTGGGTAATTTTAGAAATCCCGTTTCATAAAAATTCCTGTCTTCATTTATAAAATACAGCTCTGAGCGCCGTTTGATGGTATCTACGTTATTAAAGTCGGGGCCTTTCAAAGAATTATGTAAAGAACGAAACATGTGAAAATCTGAAGGAGCTATAGCTAGCAAATAAGGTGGATGAGGTAACACATCTCGGCCTAAAGCCGGGTTTTCACCATACGAGTACGCCCGGACCGAGTTCACTCGGATGACTACTTCGACGCGATTAGACGTATTGATTAGATGCCGACTTTCACGTTGTGTTTACACGTTGCGTGTTACGAGTAGCGTACTAATAGTAATCTGAGTGCTCTCGGACCGAGTGAGCTCGTACGAGTTAGATCGTGTAGGAGTCCAGTCGGATTTCGGTTTACACCTTATAAGTTCATCAGCATTCGAGTAGCATTTGTTTCCTTGAACAATCAAGATGCCGAAAACTGATCTGCAGCTGCGAAGTGTAAGAGTTGCAGCAGATATGTTAATAGTTGCAGGATAAAGTCATGAAAGGGAAAAAACAAAGCAAGAGAAAGATTTGGACCATAAAATGGATTTTAAGACTTGACTAACTGAGTGTTTCAAAATAATTTTATCAGCGAAGTGGAAAGAAAGATAAAAACAAGTTTAAAACCCTTTATTGTCACGTTCATTCCACTTTTTCTTAGTTGGCGTCATTTTGTTTTTCATTAAACGATCCGAGTATACTCATAGGAATAGAACCGCATTCGAGTCCACTTTGAACGGACCTCGGTGTCCAAGTGCGCTCGGAACATGTGTTTACACGTTACGAGTAGCGTCCGAGTAAAAGTCCAAGTGTACTCCCATCGAGTATTTTATTTAGTGTGTAAATTCACAGAAGACAGTTGTCTACAATGTACCTACGGGTGGCTTGTGCGGAGTTAATGCGGAGCGTGTTCCGTACGGAGCAATCTGCGTCACTATAAAACGATGTTCTAATGCCACACGTGTTACTCCGCTCCGGTGCTCCCCGCGGAATGTCCGGATGGTCCACAAATAAATTCTCAGTGGTCTGAAACTAGCCTTAAATATTCTACGAACGAAATCGGTTGATAACATTTATAGAAGGTCGATAACCTTTATATAAGATTCATCAACAGTTGTTGTAACAATTATAAGTTTAACTGGTAACAGATGAAACATCTTGAACTGAGCGGGATTATCTTCATATACAATCAATGCTACAAAGACTAACTAACAAAGATATAAAAACAATACAAACAAAAAAAGAACAATATTAGAGACAAGATATTATCATGTTTACTTGCTAAGTATTGCTCTGTGAAGACCGGTTAGCGAGTCCGAGAATATATCCACAGAGTGGCAGTATACTATATGCTCATTGCGTAATCTAGACATTTTCGGTTATTGTTCTTGGAGTTCGCGATATTTTTAAGACTTTCATGTGATAAAAGGACTTTTGATGTAATGTCACTTGCTGTGTTATACGCAAGATATGATTTCCTGATGAAATACTTTCTTTACGATTCACAAGTACGCCATTTTCATTTCCCGCCTATTTTGAAAACACGCGCTAAAATATTATTTTTCAAAATGACCATAGACAATAAAACATTTTAAAAGAACAAAGTTCTTTTTTCGTTTGTAGTTAGTATTATAGCTAGTGGCAAAAACGCAAGGAATTTTAGGCCTAATATTTAAAGCGAATCGCTTGCACAGCCCGATGTTAACTTGATGGAATTCATTGCACGTTATCCAATAACGAACTGCTTGAAGGGGTATGAATGTTCTGTTTTTATATTTTTATTTTTCTTGTTCATTTTTATATTGCCGTGCCCTCACGTGTGATCTGCTTGCGTGGCAATGGGCGGCGTGGTGTTGTAAATTCTCAAAGTGAGAGATGTTATGTGAGTGTATTATTATAACGTTTTTTTTCTTTCTCTCTTTCTTATTGTTATCTTTTGATTAGTTTAGTTTCTCGCTGCGTTAGTTTGTGTACCACCGTGCAACTGTAACACCGAAATATGTTTGCAAGAAATAAATACCTAAATATTGTACTAACATATTTATTCAAGATTTTAAATGTATAACACTTTTGTAAGAACCTAAGTCTGAAATAAACTTATTTTATTTTATATTTTATATATTGTTTATATTAATAACAATCATAATTATTCCTTGACTTTTTATTTTAAATTGTAATATTATGAGAATGATAACATTATATTCCAATCTATTGATAGTTATTTAAAATGTCTTCATCTGTATGTCTAAACAAATAGGGCTTTGTAGGGTCAAAATAGTCTAAAATTTATACACCATTTCTCGTCTTTCTTTCAGTTTTAATGAGTTGCTTTTCAACGTGTTGAATTTGAAAAGAAATAATTTAAAACCTATTTCATTAGTTTGAAAAAAACTTATTGCAAACCCTGTTAAAAATTCAAAATTTATCATTTTATAAGTTTGCAAGTGACGATTAAATAAAGTTTGTTCAATAAAACTTCGCATATTTCAATAAAAATGTACAAACAAAGCCCATGAAACAGTGTGTTTACAAGTCCGATAGAAGTTTTAATAAAAAATTAATAGTCACCTTAACTTGCTTGCCTTTTTTTGTTGTGTTAAATACATATTTAACCTTTTATTTAATCTGAAAGGCAAAAGTTGAACAAGCAACCTGTGCACATTCGAAGAAACCAGTTGTTTTGTAGTTGGTATACAATACGCAGAAATATAATAATAATGTGCCAGACAACACATTACATGTACACCCATTACATGGTCAATTACAGAACAACTAAGAAATTTCATGTACTATGAGTTCCAGAACAATGGCATTCATTCCGGGGTACAACCCAGAACACCCAGACCAGAAGCAATTTAGAAAAAGTAATCACCCAAATTGTTCCCACCGGTAATCGTACTCGGGACCTCCTCATCCAACACTCACAACGCAAACCGTTGGACCACCGAGGTTATCAGATCGATACCTCCAATGAACACTATCCCAACTTAAGCTGTTTTGTTTTTTATAATTTAATTTGTGGATGCGCCATTATGATTTAGAAATTTATACAAATGTCCGTTTTTTTTTTAAGTTTTACTGTAAGAGTATTTGTTTGCTTGTATAATAGATTGTACAACAACTGCATAAAACGCGTCAATTTGCCCGAGACGAGTTTATCCACTGGAGCCGCAGGTGAGGGTGGATATTTAAGTCGAGGGTAAAATGAGTTTTATGAACGAGTTATACACTCTGATTTTCACTTCGATTGCGAGGAAATTACACAGCAATATTACAAATGAACGCTAACACAACTATTGCCAAGAAAAAATAGGAACTTTCCGCCAATGTACTACTTTTCTACACGTGACTCATTTCGGACTACATAATGCTCAGTTATATTTTACAAGCTTTATTAATTTTTTAATATACACGTATTAAAAAAACAAAAGTAAAACTTTATTTTATAAAGTTCTAGTGTGCGTGGCAGTTGGCGCAGGCGTCATTACCTCGGTCTTAAACGACGATTTTATTTCATGCACTAGAGCTTAAAATCCTATTTTATGCAGCCTACACCCAGCGTGAATACGAAATTTAAGAGCATGAGAAATGAAAAGGTATTTTTTAATGTGCGTTTATGTCGAATAAACATTTTATCTATCCATCAAAGTATCAAGCTTGTATTATGCTATTCTTTAGCGTATTTTAATACTGTTACTACTCTATATTGTCATTATAATTTGCGCCATAAAAGTTATACTACGCGGAATGATTCCCGGCCAAAGAGTAGTAATCATTTTTTTTCTCACAGTTCTGCACATTCGCGCGCGTAAAATTTTACAACGTGGTGACCTTTGACCTCAAGTATCTCAGGTCACTGATCGCAATTCAAAATTTATTCTATATAATTGAATTTTTATGCCAGTTACAAATTTCATACATATGTATTACTTTTTTCATACATATATACGGTTGAAATATAGCCGAGTAAGTCCATTGGACCATGTATTAGCCAAGAAGGCTTTGCTGGCTACACTTCAATTTAGTCATTCACTCATATTTAACTATCCTTGATTACACCAAACTACGCCTATACAGTACTCTGTACAAACAGAGGCAATTTACTTATCGTGTTATGTTAAATAAATACAAGGCAAGAAAGCTATATTATGTGGCTGTAATATATAGATATTTGTTACAACAGTAGGTAAGAAGGAAGTTTCAGTTGCTATTGTATTATGTACCTTATGGGTTCCAATAAACTAGTCGACACGAAATAGGCTAAAGACTTTATATCTATGGTAATAAGGATGTACGAGAAGTCGCTTAGAGATGACGATGTCAAAGCGAGGCAAAACAAGACTTTTATATTCTTATTCGTCGATACTACCCTTAACTTGAATTCAAATTTTTCTCGTACAGAATCGGTTCTATTGCGCGAGTCAAGCAGTGGCTTTATTTCAGAATTAATTTTTTTACAAACGATATTAAAGCCATTTGAAAAAATACATCGTATTTAGTTCAGTTGATATTTAAAAAATCATGGATATATGTAAAGTACCTGATGAATGCAACGGTTTTCTTGTAAAATTTCGAGATAAGTTTGTTTTTTCTCTATCGTGGAAATTTTTTGGAATCGTGTTTAGTGTGTAGAACTCATACTATAATCAGTGTATATCCGCTCACGCGATACATGCAGCCGTAGATGCATACTACATCTAGAGGTGCCGGTGATGATTTTATACCGATTTATCGGATATCGAAGTTATAACAGGTAAAAGAACTAATATTAATTGCTATTTCGGTAACTACTCTAGCAAACTATAAAGTTTTTAATTCCTGGGTCTGACATTTAAAAAAAAAACAACTTCAAAAATACGTCACGACAATCGTGTGTGTTATTGTTTGGGCTAGTGATTTCGGTGTTTATTTATTGAAAACATACCGTAAGTAGCGTTTTTTAAGTTTACCCTGAATATAAATGTTTATAAACTATACTTTAAGGAGTATGGTAAACGTTAGAGCCACTCAAACAGAAAATTTTCATATTTATCCAAGTACACCAAAAATTCCATTAGTGCTTTTTAAGTGCAGGATTTGCGGTGTATTACTGCATTTTATTTGAGATGTTTAGTAGTACGGAGGGTATTTATTTAGCAATGCAGAATAATAATTTTTATTTATAAAAACTTGTATTTAAACTGAATCCTTTTCTATTTTGCGAAACCAAATAGCCGCCATTTTGCGGTAGGAGGAGCACATCGCGTGAGCGGCTAGCTTCATTCAACTTCAACACTTTTACTGTTATGCGGAATCAACCAAAGCCATTTGAATTTGTATTGACTCTTAACACGTTAGATATAAAGCTTTTCTGCTTGGTTTAAAACGAATCCGTGTCGACGAGTTTGGTGGAAAAATATTGTTTGTCGTTTACGGAACCGTAGGTACGAATAATATCCAAAACTGTCATAAGCTCACAAAACCAGGATTAAACTATTTGCATATATATATGAAAGAGGTGGGTCTTAAAATAGTTTCTCTCACTCTCTCTTAGGTTTAAGAGATTATCGGTGTAAGAAACACTATTCAACCGGCTGTAAATAACGCATTACTATCACGTAGTGCCGGTCTTCGGTGGACAAGAAATCTTAAATCCAGACGTATCTATGTATTTGTTATAAGTAGGCACGTCTTCACTGACCGTAAATGTACCAAAACCGAGTCTCGACTCTGATCCCTTATTTGTTTGCCCTTAGGGCGCGTTCCCATCATGTCGTTACGTTTTATTTATTGTTGGACGACTGTCGCGTCTAGCCTGTTTCATATCACGTCTATCTGTCGTGACTGTGTCGTAGACGTTTATTTTATTGTTGAACGACTGTCGCGTCTAGCTGTTCCCGCTAGATCGTGACGACAATTTATCGGTTCACTGCAGCCGGCTTGTCGTTTGCTCGACAGAATGTCGTTACATTTTTATCGTAACGTTTTCATTCGATTTATTATCCGACGACAGTCGTTCTAGCTCTTCCCAATATCGCGACAGTCTATCGTCGTAACGTCGAAAAAGTCGTGAACGACAGTTAATCGTGTTGTACTATGTGTCAACCTTTATTTAAATATACAAATCACGGCACTTTAAACTGTACGACTATCTGTCGTCACGACGTAATGGGAACGCGCCCATAGCGGTTTGCACTGTGGGCACTGGATGAGTAGGCCCCGGGCTCGATTACTAATGAACTTTTCTAAATTAGTTTTGGTCGAGTGTTCTGAGAAGAGCCCCAGAGAGAATTTCGTTACTTTGGTACTCGTAGAACAGGGAATTTCATATTTAGGCAATTGGTGTAATTATCTGGCACATAATTATTAAGAAGAGATTTTAGGCCATGGTCTGGCAAACCTTTACTGCGTTGTCGCTCGTAGAGATCTTCTCTTGTACAGGTATTAGGGCACAAGGGGCACAACTATAAGTGCTCTTGAGCTGTGTTGGGGCACCACATTCAAATTGAGGTAGACTAGCATCCCTGTAACCCCATTTACACGTCTTGTTTCTGCAGCGTCCTACCTGTGTGCAAATACGATTTAAGGATTTCCACACGGGCCGCCGCAAATCGCAACCTTTATTTTTTTTGTATGAGACAGACCCTGAGACATAAGTTGTCGTATGTACCTGCAATTTCACCAACACCCTTACCCTTCAAAAACGGAGCACAGTAATGTTGATATTATTGCTTGGCGGCAGAAATAGGTAAGGTGGCAGTACTGCCCTGGACGAACCCTTTCACAAGGAGCGCTTCTGCTACTACCTGGTGGTAGTTGCCCTTGACGGATGTTGAAACCATAGCAGTTTCAGTGCTACTCAGAGCTTTAAATCGCAAAGATCTCAGAGGCACTGCCAGACTGCCACTGCACCCGTCACTTTTAGACATAAGTTGACAAGTCCCATGTGTCTGGAATTTCACCAGCACCCTTCAAAGTCCCTTCAAGTACTGAACTGACCGAACTTTCTACAAGGAGCTCTTACTATTTGATATTGTGTCGCCCAATATGTGTGTTTACTTCCGCAGGTGCCGATCACTTCCGTGGTCGTGAACAGTGGCAACAGCGGGGAGACGGATGGAAGTCCACAAAGCAAGGAGAAGGAATCTCTATCACACGAACCACCCACTTGATGCAACGGCTCATGAATCACTGATTGTAACATTGTGATGTGACGTGATTTGAAGTGATATTCATTGTTCGAAGTACGTGACTTTCGTGAATTAGGGTGACTGTAATTTAGTTTGACTTTGGTATTAACCCTCTATACAACGGAAGTGTATTTTGAGCATGGAGTTTTTTTAATTTAGCATAATACCATGCTTGAGCACTATAACAGGTCGTGGAAAGGAAACTATGACTGGACTACTATGGACTACTATGGAATTAGCGATCCAATTACGGCCACGCAAATCTAGGAACAGTAATTGTTCGAAAGTGTTTTCCCCCGCAACCCGCACCTAATTAAAGGGCCCTACTTAAGGCGTGGCGGCGCGCGGCGATTGAACCTGCCAGACTATTTTGGGCATTTATTCTTAATAGAATATACCACCCCCATAGGAACATGCCACTACTCAAATACACTGCATGCAAATCAATGCATAAATACTGATAATTATCTACATTTTATACCTTTTTGTACCATGCGGTACAGCGCTCTTTGGATGTAGGGTTGGCTAGTATGCTGTTACACATACCCACATAGTATTGGCAAATTGAATTTAATGCCCAGCTGAAGCCTCTCAGCCTAACTCCGGACACACTCCACTAGGACGTGGTACAACGTACTCTCTCTTGTTTCAAATAGAGCAGTTGGGAGACGTCTTACCCATCACGTGGGAGAACGAGCGAAGCCGGAAAGCTGGTATGATTTCATTTCTGCTCATATCTGCTGCATAGAAGGGCCTTACCATGAACTCTTATTTTGTATTCTAAACGAATCGTTGTGAGATAGCGCTACATGAAGTATATATCACCATCTCGCTTTTTTGCAATTACGAACCCAAACTAAACTGTAATAAGAGTTCATGGTAAGGCTTCAGGGCGTCTCACGGCTTGTGGGACACGTGGGGCACAAGCACTTTAATTATTTGTAGATAAGATATTTAGCTTCATGGAGACGTTGTTTTATTTCTAAAAGTAAGTAAATATATAATAAATATTATAAAACATCACATACGTTTCCCTGACTCCAAAGTAAGTCACTAAAGCACTTGTGTTTTGCAAATAAGAAACAACGACGGTACCACACACATCCAGACAATATAGGAAACTTTGTAATAGTAATAACGTACACACTCATAGCTCCGCACTAGGGAAACCCTGTATTATGGGTGCCATGGACACACATAGCCACAAATTACACCCAAAATCACGAGAGAAATAAATGTAGGCCAGCAGTTTCTCTACATTGACCCGGACGGGGATCTTACTCGTGACCTCAGAGCTGGCGATACCAAGAGAACCAGCGTACAAACCACTCGTACACATAGGCGAAGATTTTTAAAAGTCGCTTGCCTCATTTGGAATTCGAACCGACCAAACGTGAAAAAAGCCTGTATTTTTGGAATGCTAATAAAAATCATTCTGTATATGTATAGTATAGTTTTATGATACTGATCGAAATGGTCAATTATAGGATTAATTTTTAATAAGGAACATAGTATCTTATGCAACTGCCACCGTGGCTGAACGGTTACCACGCTGGACCGCCACGCAGAGGTCTCGGTTTCGATTTCCGGGCCAGCAGAAATATTTCTAAGGCCTACATCTATTTCTCTCGTGAGTTTGGGTATAATTTGTGGTTGTCTATGTGTATGTCCATGGCTTCCGCGATACATTGTTTCCCTAGTGCGGGGCTATGAGTGTGTATGTTATTATTATATTATTATTATTCACAGGAACACCGTTCAATTAAACAATTTATTCGAAAAGGAAACGAACTTGAAACTGCCAATACATAGTATTTATCCATTGTGCTAAATGTGTTAGTCCCATAATTACTATTATCTATTATTTATTCGTTTTTAACAAACGAAAATACTTATGTCTCAGGGCGAAGGGCGCAGTGGCAGTGTCACTCGGATCTTTACGATTTAAAGCTGTAAGTGGCACTGCATCTGCTATGGACAGGCGTGTCGCTTAACACCAAGTGCATGACTTGCTCGTCCCGTCACTTGGTATTATAAATCAAAATCTCTCCGTGTCTCACAGCGTGGTACGCCCTATCTGACTGGCTTAGTTAGACGAATGTTTAAAATATACCCTGTTCCCATGTACATGAGCACCTTAAAAACAGGCCCAAAAATTATATACTCTGTGACGGTGTGACCTCCTTACATCGTCATTACACTTTTTTATCGTCTTTTTCAACTCGTATCGTATCGTTTTTTCTTTCACTCGTATTTAAATTCAAATTTTGAATTGTTCCATCCTTTTGCCTCACATTCTGATTTTGTTTCGTTCTATCGCCACTCCCTGCTTGATCGCGACAGCGGACGGAGCTGTTTAAATTCAAATCGCGTCTAATTTGGATTATTTTACTAAGTTATATTCAATAAAATACAATCTAAATCATGTATCAATATAATAAGTAATTCTGTAATTCAGTATAACTCGGCCCTTTTAGGGGTAAGTGTCTACTTGATAACTCTTTATATCCATCAAGTTAGGGAGTGTTTTTTTTTTTATATTAATGTGTTTTTCTATATATACATTTTTATTGTTACAGCTTTACCCTTACTTCTTACGCCTTACTCCTTAATTGTTTGGTATCATTTCTTTATAACCAGACATTAAATAAATTTGTGGAGTTTTCTGTTTTACTGCCATGAACCTGGTCACGGCTTGTTAGGGTTACAACCCTTTCAACTCTACGTTTCTCTACAGCTTATATCAACTCGTAATTAAAATTGTTCACATGTGCAATAAAAACCTTTTAAAGTTTATTATTGTATGAAATAATTACATCTAGACGAAAAAAGAATAAGGCACAATATACATTACTGCGGAACGGAATGGAAGCGAATCTTTGCAACGAAATGTACATAGTATAACGATCTTTATGTCATTAGCATACCGTAAAAATATAGATATAATACGATAGCTGCGAGAATTCCCAGCTATCGTATCGTATCTAATTGTGGGAGATTGTGGGAGAATTCTCTGGAAGACACGGTCACGGTTTTTTGACTCGTATATAGTTTGTACGTTACATAATCGACATAAAGTTCATTATTCATTTCAACCAGCTGCAATTTAATTTGAACCTAAGAGCCTTTGCACACGTAGTATTTTATACGTCGCGTAAACGCGCGTAATTTGCGAGTATACGCGTGCCGCAGATGCGCTGTAGTCAATTGATTCAAACGTGCTCAAACATCGCGTTGCAAGCAAGAAGTTTATATAGAATTTCATGTAGTTAGTACATTTCTGCCGTCCACTAACTATAATGCTGCTAAGTGACAAATGATAAAATAACAGTTTTAAATAGCAAAAAATAAAGCACAAAATTATTTTTAAAAACAGTTAAAATTATTTAACGTGTTTGACTTATTGGAACTTACCCTAACGATGAATAGCTGAAATATCATTATAGAATTTCGATATTCTAAAACTGGGTATTGGTTTTTTATGATATCTCAAAAAAATATTTTATCGCGTAGCCGCGTTTTAGTCAGTTGACGGCAGATTTCAAAAATTAACTGAAATTAACAAACTATACTAAAATTAAAACTGTCTCTTATCAAAATCACGTTTACCGTGCGTATACGCACGTCGGCGGCGCGTATAAAATGCGCCGTGTAGGATACAAACTAGACGACAGAGAGCGGCGGCGCGGTGGCGGTGATGGCGTCAGCGGCTGCTGGCGGCAAAACACAAGCGTCGCGCTCCAGTTGAGCGGTGAATGCGCATTAGAATAGTCATAGGGTCGCCTTGTTGCTTAGATACCCATATCTATTTTTCTATCAATTAAGTTTAGTGATGTAGTCGAAGGAAATAATTTCAGCAGTTGTAGAAATACCATACGGAACAGTAAACATATCGACCAAAAAAGTAGAAGGATATAAATCACTATAATAAAGAAGAATAGAGATACAGTCGCTTAATAATTAAAGTGTGATTTCAGTTACCACTTGATATTTGAAAGAATATAGCCAAAAGTATCGATATCGCGCTCACATTCTTCACATTTTAACTGCCTCCGTGGCCGAACGGTTACCATGCCGGACTGCCACGCAGAGGTCCCAGGTTCGATTCCCGGGCCGGGAGAAATGTTTGTATGGCTTACATTTATTTCTCTCGTGAGTTTGGGTGTAATTTGTGGTTGTCTATGTGTGTGTCCATGGCACCCGCGACACAGGGTTTCCCTAGTGCGGGACTATGTTGAGTGTGTGCGTTATTTATTTATATTTATTTATTTATTCACGTCACATCACTTTACCGCCGCAAACTAAGCGATCTGGTCACTGACGTCGAGAACAGGCCACTTTTGCCGCACTGCCGCTCGCTGTCGTACAGTTTGCGGTCTTAGAAGTTATGTTTGTAACTTTGACAAATTATTATTTAAACGCATGAAAAATTGTAAGTTTGACCCAACAGAGTGGGAGAAACAGGCAATCGATCATTCGCAATAGAGATCTTTTGTGACAAACAAAACGTCACAATTTGAGACTCGTCGACGAATTGAGTTGGACGTCAGACTTGACGAGCTGAAAGCCCGACCACCTGCGGCGATCAGCTACCATTACATTGACGGTGTGCGCATGGATCTTTACTAATTGGGTACGTGAGCACACGAGCGCCACCGACAGCGGAGCTGAGGCAGTTGCCGTCGCAGAAAACGATCAGGAGAATTCAATTAAACGCATTATTTGACACGCTAACAACGGTAAAATTTGTCACCACAGCGATGAACAGTTTGCAATCCTTTGGATCCCTTCGCTGGACGCACCAAAACATTTGACGAAAAAGATAATTCGCAACCACATCTGCAAAATGACATCTTTTCAGAAGATAGATTTCAAACTTCTACGAACGAAGTTAGTTAACAATTGTTTTTTCTCCTATGAGAGTATCAAATGGCTAGCAGAACTGTTCGTCGAATAAGTCAGTACTGGGTACAATGGAGTTGGTATGGCTGAAATGGGTGAAAGAAACATCGGGAGACGTTATGTTGGGCCGTCTGACGTAATGCATTTTTTTATAACATCCAGTGACGGACCTGATGGTAAGCTACACGCCTGTCCATAACATTTACAGTGCCACTCAGAGCTTTAAATTGCAAAGATCTGAGGGGCACTACCACAGCCCCCGTCACCCTGAGACTTAAGTTGACAAGTCTCATGTGCCTTTAATTTCAACATTGAAACTTAGAGGCTGGCTTATACAATGTTCATGCGATATTTTTTCAAAAGTTATTTGCTATATCAATAATATGATATGTTCCACACGCAAAATAGGCGCCTTGACGTCGAGTTACGGACACTAGCCCGTTACACCAAAATGTACAAAATGTACTATGTGTAACAGTCGCGAAAACCTAAGAACCTAAGAACGATACGATATGATATGTTACGCAATATTCAAACGAGTATCAAGGTTAATTATTTTAGTGATCGTTGTCGCCATTGTAAAAACTTTTCCTGTGTATCTTAAGTAATTGTCATACTATGATACTTAAAAGTAAATAAACGCTATTGATCGGCATCATAAAAATGCAGGATGTTTTGTTTTCCACATTTGATCGGTTTGATTCGCAAATGAAGCAAGCAATTTTTTAAAGGTCTTCAAATGCAGTATTACTTACTTTTATAAATAAATAAATAAATAATATTTCCATGAAGAAAAATATCTTG